AATGGAGAGTCATTATACGTATAGAGGCACTGCTAAGTACTTCTAATACTTTACACACTGATCACACTCTTCAACGACCAGAATTTAAACTTAGCTTCTTAAAAAAAAACGCTTGTATGGATTAAAAGGATCTAGTGAGCGGTCGATTACAGGAGGAGTTGAATCGCCATTATTGTTGCTATCAACATAGGTATATAAACATTGTTCATTTAGGTATGTTTAAGATAGACGTCCTCGCAACGAAACCTTGTCATGTTTGTAGGGATATACGAAGCTCCAGAAAAATTTTTGAAAGAGCAAGGTATATTCATTTTTCACCGAGAAACTACAGTCCCCAAATTTAATTTAGAACAGAACGAAATTTAGTGACATTTGAGGTAATTTGAAGTATCTCGGATTTTGTGCGGCGTCTTAATTAGAAGAATAAAGATAAGTTATCATTGGTGGGCCTTGCTTGGATTTACACCGAGTAAGAATGATCTTACCGAAAGTAAAGTAGACCGCAGAAAAAGATCACGCGATGGGCCAAGTATAAATATATATATATTACTAAATTTTAGAAAACATCGCTGCTATTCTTCTCATATGTTTCTACTTTATTTTATGGAAGTGATAAGTCTAGTTTTTCAAACTTCATCTGATTCCCTAGCGTTAGCCACGATGTATGATCATACATCGAGAGGAATGGCTCTTTCACGTAGACTTCTTAGTGCATATAAACTAGGATATTTCGTAGAAGTTACTGAAACAGATTATTTGTTGTAATCATGACCTATCTACGATTGTGACGTCTAGACGATATTAGTAACCCGACAAAATGGCGTCTTTAATTAGTAGTACCTGTTCTAGGTTAGCCTGTTAGCCTGAAAAAAGCGGTAAAAGAAATAGCACAGCACCAGTCAGCGATAAAATCGATAAAAGAAACCTAAACTGAAAGATCACGGAATTATTTTCAATGTCTCATTGATTATTATTTCGGAACCTTTACTCAAGTTCGACAATAATTATTTTCTGTATTTAAGTTAACCGTTATTTGCTTTTCACATTTAATTCCTCGGTACGCTACACAGTCAGCTTATAAGCGATGCTTCCATGAAACATGCTCGATAATTTCCATGCGGTGTATGCAGAGATGTGTACATGTATATCTGCGTGTGTGGGTGTGTGTGTCTGTAATGTGTCTTAGTCCATGAAAAGAATGACAATCACTGTGGTCGAAATCGAAAAGATTGTACAGTTATTATAAAAGTACAGAGTAGACCTTGACTACTTTTGGGTATGTAAATCGGAAAATAAAAGGGGAGTTCTAAAAACATTCGGTAGCCCTCGATGATTTGTGATTACTAACAGGTGTAACACAACAATCATAGCAATCACTAATTTTTGTCTTTAAGAAAAAAAAATTAATAATGAATCATCGAGGCATCATCTTACGACTCTTGGAAAAGGAAAATTTCTGGAGAGATGAATTTGTAAAACTAGGGAACTATTTTCATTTTCGTCAGTATCGAGTATTGGTCGAAGTACAAAGAGCACTATAATAATAAATATTATATCTATAAAAGAGACGAATTGTTTGAAATGTTCTTCCTACTTTAATAAAAAAAATGTTCAGAACTTAATAAATTGGAAAAATGAAACAAATACAAATATAAATGTATTCCTAGGATTGTATTCAAGGAATTTTCTAAACTCAATTTCTGAACTATCTGCCTATGCACGAAAACGTGACTCAAATTTCGCCGTGTGTTGCTGTTTTCAGTGTTTTTGTTGTGAACTATCGCGAGATTCGATACCTCGGCCACACGTGTCATGTACAGTAACGCCCTAAGTATTCTAACAATCAGATCCCACGATCAAACGTTCAATCTTTCCATGGAGCTGCTGATGTCAAAGAGCAAGGCGACTGACGAAGCGGATTCTTTTCATCTCGATCCATGAATCATGATCGAGATATTCTTTGAAACCTTCGATGTATCGCTCTTTCAAGTCGTTCGTCGAAGCGAGGATCCAGATACACAACACCTTTCAATGATTCATATTGTTACTAGAATAAAGTTCCCAGGGACTGCTAGAGTTACTATTCTGGTAATGACACGAATCATTGAGAAGAGGCGTAAATTTCTACCAAAAAGAGACTATGAATGGAAGTGAAGATGATTTAATAAGTAATCAATGAATTGCTTTCTATAATCAGATAGTCCAAGTTTAAAGCAATCGGATACTTATTCAATTATTAAATATACAATATTGAACATTTTTCTACAGAAATGGACTGATGTCGTTAGATTTTTCATAATAGCACAACTGGTTGCTCCTGGGAGCAGTTTCAGGTGAATAAGGCAAAAAGTATTCAACGGATTTTAATAATTCATTACCATAGAAGTGGTACTATTGTATTTTAATCGTCCAACATGTAAATCTAAAATCACTTGGGAAGTTTAATATTAGCATTACAATTGGCGACAAATTTTATGCTAAAGTTTCGTGAAGGAATCTGTTTCAATGAAAGTATATATATTTATTCATGATTAGGCCCTAAAAGTTCCTATTCGGAACTGTTTTTGTCGATACTGATTACGAAACACCTCCCAATGATTCGTATTGTTACTTGGATGAAGATTCTAAAAAATGCTAAACTTCGCCACACGAGCAAACATTATTTGGCTTTACTTTGAACTCTTAGTTGTTGGAGCGATGGCTTCAATAATTTCTAGGTCTAATGATTGTGCATAAACTGCAAATTATGGAAAGTGTATCATCAGTGATTCATGTTCCTACCAGGATAAAGTCTCTAAGGGATCTTATTCTTCGTCGCAGCCATTAGCCTATTAGGGAGCTTTATCCTAGTAACAAGACGAATCATAGAATTCCAATGCACGAAATCATCTGCAGTCATTCTGCTGCAGCTGCTTCCACCACAAATTTACTACTATTTAACTCACTTGTCCGGCCTTTTCCCCTTAGTTCCCCCAAAAAGAACGACGCTTCTGCTCCTCAAAGCCCAGATTGTGCACAATTAATTCTAGATTCTCGCAAGAACGACGACATGAGACGTTTTTCGACGATCTCGTTCAAGATATGCGAGCCTGTAGGATCGTTCGAGCACACCGCAGAATAATATATAAAAACGAGCTGACCGCACGACATCACGACGACTGTCAATCAAATAACACTGCAGTCCACACCAAGTAACAATATTGAAATATATATAATGTATATATATAGATATATAGAATAATGACGTATGACGTCCAAGACCAGCGCATCGCAGAAAACGATTACGGGTATATATATATACGTATATCAAGGTGGCATTCTCTGATGGAACAGACAAAAAAAAAAGGGAAAAGTATATAGAAACCAAGGCGACAAAACTGGGAACGACCGATCATATATATGACACGAGCAAAAAGGTTTCAATCTGGCGATTCGTGCTCGTTGCTTGTTACGTGGCACCTTAAAACCGTCATAGGTCCAGGAGCCTAACTTCAAAACACAGGTCTGTACGTCGTATGGAAAGAACTCAACGTCGATGGAGCAGGAGGATTTATATACGGCCGGCGGTTGCCAGACGACCAATCCCGAATAGTAGACCGTGGCCTTGGTCATCAGCGTCACCTCGTAGTTCCCGTCGGCGCTGGAATCACCGAAGAAACGAGCCGAGCGTGATCACGATTGGCTCCTCGAAAAGAGCACCGGATGCTGCCATATTGAGACTCTCTCTTACCTTCTAAGTAAAGATGATAAATGCTTCCACCATTGTAGTTTCTCGTCAACTAACCTCAGCTTTAAGTTTTGCTTCAATGGTCCTTTCTCTAAATGGAGACTATGAGTTACGCTCATAGGGATTTCTATGAAACACAGGGGGATCAATTTATCTTCTAGAATATTTCGTTTCAGTTCTAGTTTCTGTAAGTAGCCGTTAACTTGTCGACCAAAAAAATTCAGAAGTCCAGTTCGTTTTCCACAGAATTTATATTATATAGTCCCCGGTGACTCACGGATCAAATTCGGTTCTAATTGACATTTCCATTGGTGAAAAGAATTGGTAAAACAGAGTTCTTCGCGATAAAATTGCTCGTATATTACTGTTGACAACCTGAAAGTGTCTGAAATTAAGATAAGAGGTTGTTAGTGGATATGAACTTCTGATATATTCTGGATGGTGCTATCGAAGCCTGATAGACTGGGAGCCTTACACATTTTTATTAGAATAGATATACATGCAATCGAGGAATATAAATAAAAATAATTGACATTGGTTTCATTTACATCAATGCAACCACGGTATGGTTCCATTTTATGTGTTTCATGACATGAGATGTTTCTGTACTATTCCGGAACATAATATCGCAAAACACATCATACAGCTATTTATTAATTTTTTAGTGTTTCAACAATGATGTACAGAGAATCCTTGACACCGTTGACATCTTCATTATTAAGAACATAATAAACAGAATCATTTAACAACGATTATATTATGAGATGTCAAACTACTACATATCAAACAGTATCGCATAAAGCTCCGGACAACTTCCGCTACCAAAATAAATGCTTCGCAGCCTATCCTTTTTTGACAAAATGAAGCTTCTGAATTTTTCGTGTTGAAACGGTTGCTTGCTTCCGTAGAAATTTAAACGAAGTATTCTACATTCTACGATGTGATTCATCCCCTTGTATCCAGCCAAAATTCTCTATGGACCATCTTTCTTCTGTCAGACTCATTTTTTCCCGAAAATAATAAAACTTGGCAGCATCCGTCTCCCACCGTAGTTCTCGACTCCCGTCGTCAGTCCCATTCGATCATGCAATCACCAGAACACGATCCACTGAATTGTGATACCCACACGACGAGCCGATCGTTCTTTTATTTTTTTTAAATCTAACCTTACTAATCTAAATGGATCATCCCCGACGCATCACGATCGTTCGATCCACGTCGCGGAGGATCGATATCTGTGGCAGGGAACTTAACGGCTACCATGCAAGTTTACCTTGAAGCCGTCATAGGTCCACGAACCGAACTTGAGGACGCAGGTCTGCTCGTCGAATGGGAAGTACTCCACGTCGATCTCACAGGATGACTTATAAATGGCGGGGGGCTTCCACTCGACCAATCCTTGATGGTAGATGGTGGCCTTCGTGGCCAAGGTCACCTCGAAGTTGCCGTCCGCGCTGCGAGCGAGCACATTAGTGGTTCTGGGCGCTGCGACGGTCGAGCTTACTTTGTATTTCCGATTCGATACCAAGCCGTCATTTTTTTTTTTTTAATTTTTGGAGATTTCTTTGTTATTTTGTTTTTTTTTTTTTTTTGGTTTCTTTGAATGAGTCTTAACGATGCCTTTAGAGACTGAAGTTGGTGTCCTTGTGTAGGATATCTTTGGAGTCGCGGTGTGTTTAGTGAGGTTTGTACAACCATGATCGACGAATCTCCGAAAAAACACGAAACCTGATGAGTGTTTGTATTGAACGCGATAGTTTTTATGGTTTCAACGTTATAATGATTGAAGGAGGATTATTTCATTTTTATCGTACATGCGTGTGAGTGCTGGTATTGAAGTACGATGTATTTATATTTTTTTATCGTCAACTAAATCTAAAGTATTTTTGGTTCTAGATATATAAAGAAAATATTGAACAGAATGAAAGATTAAAATATATTTTTGCAGATTTGTAAATGAACTTCAATCAAATATACGCTGGTAGTTCTAATATTCCATGCCAGAATTTATTTTTGAGCAATTCTATCATTTCTAAGTACTCTTTAACGGTTTTGTAGTTCAATTTGGATGATTAATTGCTAATTGTCTTGAATATATGCTATAGGCCCTTATTTCGATCCTAACGTTGATTTACATAGAAATTATCATACATACAACAACAAAAAAAAGAAATTTCAACGGTTTAATGAATCATTTTTCGAATTATAATACAATACTTACGGCCAAACACTTTGAAGTTAGTGTGCCTTTTCCAAAATAATAAAATTATATAATACTATAATTGTACATTATTAATGATGTTACAATCTTTTACTTACAATGCAAATTATACCCATCATTTTTATAAAATTCAGTTCCAATTTTCTCAATCACCTATAAAATGAGTCACATTAGGCAAAGAACCATCTCGTAACTATAAAGTTATACATATACAATCTTGTATCATATATAGTATACTTAAAGTAATTATAAAATACTTTTCTTAGGGCATACTTTATTCACATTTTAGTTGATTTAATTTATTAGGTAATATTGATGATAGTGTTATTCAAAATACGTAAAGTATGTGCAAGTATTACATAGTATTAAATTCATTATAATGACTTGAATTTTTTAATAATAATTACTACGATGGAACTTCTAGAAGTACTATCCTTCTTAGAATTTACTACCAATTAAATTTTAGAAATTTTATAATAATACTAAATTGAGTAATAACGGACAACATATGATACATTAAATGCTTGTATTTAATATGAGTAATTTGTAATAATGCATTCAAAAGTAAAAAGATGATGGATTCAAGCTAAGGATAGTGGAAATATGAATATAGAAGTTCATAACAACATTATTAAAAAAATGAATCTAATTTAATAATATACATACATTTATGGAATAATGTATAGAACGATAAAATAAAATACCAAGGGTCATGCCGCAGCAAATAGTATCAATAGTAAAACATAATTTAGTTACAGATTATTTAAAAATTTGAATACACTTGGCTTATTTTGAATACAAAGTAATGCATAAAATGCCCTACCATTTAATTTACATATTACGTAAAATATTATTCACAAAATAAAAACTGAGATCATAAGCCTTAATGCATTGTATGTTTTATTTGCCTTCCATATGTTCGCTCGAATTGAATCATGTTAATTGAAGATGTAAATATTGTAATATTTTCTGTTATATCCTGTGTAAACATTGAAAATATGGAGGAATAATTTTTCAGTGATAATGACTTTACATATTATTAACAGACTAGACCTCTCAACGTTGATGAAGTAATCTTCTATCATACAATATTCATTTCTAGTACTATTCTGTTTACATTCCAGATAAAATAATCTATACTAAGAAAACAAAAAGGTAAATGCCTTTTTGCCAAAATGTATGCAATCCCTATTTGTTTCGTTGTCAAGGCCTATAAGCTTTTCAATACATCCAACTGCATAAAATGAAATTGTCCTTATGCTTCGAAAATGAATCCCAATAATGTTTTCGCACTTCTTAATTTAAAACTCTTTAAATGTCAATTTTCCTCTTATGATTTTCAATGTTTATAACTAAGCAACTAAGGACATCTTGATGATTAAATTCTTTTACTATCTTTATAAACTGCTAAACGTAATAAATTTTTCATTCTGCATTCTCTTGCTTCTACGTATAGTATTATATTCCTCGATTCAAGGTAGGAACGGTAATTCAACACAGTCCTGTAGGTGTATGTGTGTCCTTTAACAATCCAACCTGAATCGCCTACAGCAATTCAGCAATCTACGCGGATAAACACCGGCCTCGTAGCATATTTCAGTGTATGAACAAATGTTTGTGCCTGTACATATGTATATTTGCACACTTGACTGAAATAAACGTGAAAGGATATTAATCATAACGAATTTTCAAATCATAACATGATATGAGTACTATTTCAAAAATTCCATGTTAATATACATATGTATTTCAGTAAATTGAATACATCTTCTTCTATGTTTATTCGGTCTTTATAATAATTGTAATATGTACATAAAACGAAAATATTCCAGAAGAAATCGTCTGTTATAAAAATATAGAAATAGAGTGTAAAAATATTATTATGAGGTATTATTAAAATTCCCTTGTACAATATGCATTGTACAGTATGTTTTATGAACCTCTACAATATTTTCTAAAATGCACAACGTATAATTCGTCAATTTTTTATGTACAACATGTTAGATTTCTTATTTATTTCACATATTTGATAATAAATTACGTATACAGGACGAACCATTTACCCCTTTGTATACTCCATTTGTAGTTGGACGCGTCGAGGATATACGAAGGTCAAATTTGATTTTTCAAATGGAATTAGATTGAATTTCAGATGTATAACCAGATGGAATTTCTTCGAACATACCTGAATACATAGGTAAAATGCCAGATGTGTTAAAGATTACTGTCTTTGTAAAAAGATTCGCAAAATATTGCTTAAAAACCTGACGTTTGTACAGTAATACCCCCTTAAATGACTCACCCTGTATAACGGTAATAGGACTCGAAAACGTACCCCACAACCCTATAATATTATCACTATTGCAATAAGAGACTAAATAATTAGCCATTAGTGTAATGTGTGATATATTATGCCGTTCATAGAACCACGCAATATGATCCTCAATATCGAACGATCGATCTGTTCCCGTACCCGCAATCTCTCACGTCGCGTCGCCTCGAATAGATTTCAACTGGGAGTGTTCTACCGACAAAAGGTTTACGGGCGTATCGTGCTCGAAATTCGCCTGGTAGAATTGATCGATGATCGCTCGTTACGATTTTAACGTGGAGGGGGACCAACCGGCCTCGATGATATAATGCTCGTATCGAAGATGGCTGGCGCCGATTAAGACCCCTTCCGATCTTTATAACGCGCTCCCCGCAGTATGCGCCCTTAGGAACCACGTAACGCTAGCTCATGAGGGGCCGTTACCTTTACAAGAAGTGTGAGTGACAGATATCTGGGTTAATTAATTGCTAAGGTGGAGAGAAACGAGTCACGTGGGTATCTCCGTGGGAACAATGGGTCCCACAAAAAATACAGTGTAGAATCTGAGCGCCTTAAAAACCTTAATATAGATTAGTTTTCACGTTTTTCCCTAACTGGTAATCAATAATTTATGCTTCCGACTGCAGATTAATAATTTCAAATTTAGGTTTATATTACTTATCAAGATTAAATAGGGGTTGTAACGCTGGTCGCCATAGTAGCTTCGCATTTAGTGTAGGCGTTTTAATGATAATTAATACTTGAACTCTCATTCCCCGGTATCAGTATGTATTCATGGACATTAAAGCCAAATTTATTTGCACATAAATAATAAATCGAATCAATCAAATGTATTTTCACCAGTTTGTATATGTTTATGAATTTTCGTATTTGTATGCGCCAATTTATGAAAGTAGAAATTGAATGAAAGCTTATTGTCCGAGTAAGCTGGTATACAGTAGATAAAGAGGAAATTAGGTTTCTGGTAAACATTATTGACGTTCATATTTCACTATGTTTTACTCCGTTGCACGTGTTATCAAGACACAAAATTCACGACCCAGTTATTGCACCTACATATATCCTTCTAAAAATAGTATTATTTCTTTATTTTAAATATAAATGCGCATACTTTCCTGAGAAAATGTTCTGATTACCATTTTTTTAATTTAATTTTATATTTTGAAAATGCTTTCATTACTATTTCTAATAAAGAAGTGTTATCACTCGTTTTGATAAACGCAAATTGCGATGAACGAGTCTGTTGGTCAATGTCAAAATCGGTCAATTTGAGTTTATAAATATGACAGTTATTATCAGTGAAATGTTTTCGAATAAAAGTAGATCCTTCATCCATTTCTTTTTCTTTACAATAATAATATAAGGTGCACGAACCATGTATATCCAAACTGTTAGAGTAAATGACCACAATAATTTATTATTTGCCTATATCATGTATAATAGTTATAAATCTGTAACTGGCAGGCCTCAATATAAAAATTCCAAACTGAACATTTGTTTACATTTTCTACATTGAAAACATAATTTCTCAGAAAAAACGTAAATATATTTGAAAAGGTCAATTCTTTGCGACTAAAATAGGATAAAAATGAACTCCGTACCATTGATATGTTCAAAGATACAAACTATTTTACGTACCCTATTTTTGTGAAAATGGGCAAAAATCGCAAAACGTGATGTCTCGTATCTTTTAACTAATATCGAAATGATCAAATTAATGATGTAACCCCATTATACTTAGATGGACTACACTGTATTTCGATTTCAAAAAAATCCCTGACATCACGTTTACAAAGTGTTCGATCTAACATGGAAGACTCACACAATTTCGGTAGTGCTAAAGATTAACATCTTGACTGCCAGACCAGCGTCTATGAAAGTTCTACAAAATTAAAAGCAAT